TACTACTAAATTAAAGATGATAATGCTGCTGCTGCTGCTGCTACTACTACTACTACTACTACTACGACTACTACTACCACTACCACCACCACTGCTACTACTGCTACTACTGCTGCTACTGCTGCTACTGCTGCTATTGCTACTGCCACTGCCACTCCATCTGCCTGCCACTACCAGTACCACAAAAATTAGCACGACGACAACAACAACCACAACTACTACTACTACTACTACTACTACTGCTACTGCTACTGCTACTGCTACTAGGACAACAACTACTACTGCTATTACTACTGCTACTACTACTACTACTACTACTACTACTACTACTACTGCTACGACTGCTGCTACTACTGCTACTACTTGCTGCTGCTACTGCCAAAACTGTCCACTCATGCAACACATCATGCATATGAGCGTGAGTGTAAACGCCAAGACCTCGCAAGACTTTGTTAGGTCTTTGAACCGATTCAGTAGGTCCTGACTTGGTTTGCATTGCGAATAGGTGTTTGTATACTATACAGTTGCTCTATATATATATATATACGCACACACATACGCTTCTATATATGCATATGCCGTACATACATACATACATACATACATACATACATACATACATGTATATACGTGTATATACGTGTATGTATGTATGTATGGATGGATGGATGCATGCATGTATGTATGTATGTATGTATGTATGTATGTATGTATGTATATACATATACACAGAACAGCACAGTGAAGGATTCACATGCAAATATTCTAGCACCGTTATACCTTTGAGCATAAACATATGTGTTATGTGCACATACCTATGCACATACATATAGAAAGAGAGACATGGATGAAGCCGCTGATGCGTTGCATTGGGCCGTTTGCACCCTCAGAGCGATCGTGCAGGTGCACAGCCCCAAGGGCCAAAGAGCAATTTTGGGAAGGACTGTGCCGTTCCACAGCATCCTTCATGTTTGAAGAATATAATCTCGTGGACTCTCAACGACTACGAGATAAGCATGCCAGGGCGGCTAGGAAGCCCAGAGAAGAGTTGCGGATCCCAGATTAATACATTATATGGCAGGGCAATGGCAACGTGACTTCTTCTTGATCACCGAAGATCCCTTTGCCGTGGACCTTAATACCTTGGACCTCTGGGTCGAAGGTTTGTCTGTGCGAGAAGCCACCGAGCGAAGATGGAGGGACACAAATTCGCAGACTCCGCTTCAGGTCACAGGAAGCCTGGCTCACCAGGGTTCATCCTCGGAGCGAGAGAATGGCATGGCCCTGCTGGCACAGGACTGCGCCCAACAGTACGAAGCTTTCGAATTTTTGGAGGAGGCCTTGACAGACCCGATCCACTTCATCGATTTTTGTCCCGTGCAGCTGACGAGGGCAGTCCGCAAAGTATTTGTGCGCAAATACTACAGCTTGGACAACCACATCGTTCGCGAGATTCTCCGCCAACCGCATATCCTGAATGTGAAGCTGCAAGGTGGCGGGGACAGGAGAGCCATGTTTGAGGTGGACCAGATCGCGCGGGCGAGCGAACAGCGCTCGATGAAAGTCTGCCGCATCATCATGAACCTGCAGAGGGTGGGCCGCTGGATCGAGCACGCTACCCAGCGACACGGGGAGGATGAGACTCCTTATCCGGGCGGGAGGCTCCATGTGCCTGAGATGGAGGCCTTGCAAGAGCCACTCTGCTGGCGGTACCGCAGCTTGATCTTTGTGTTGCTTGCAAAGTTTGATTTGAGCAGCAAGCTGTCCAAGACTCTGCAGACAGAGCATATTGAAGACGTGGCTGCCATTTTGCTGGCCATTGGGGGCTTGCCAGAACCAACGGACAGGAGTCGATTGCTCCCCATCCTCCGGGGCGATGAGGTGTTGACCACCTACAGCGCTGCCTCCACGATGCGACAGTCCGTGCTTGATGGGACTGTCAGGGAACAGCTGCAGCAGCTGGACAAGCACGTCTTGAGATGCTTGGCGTTGCTTTCCCGTCAATCTTTTTCCCTAGCCGGGTGCTTGGGTGCTCGCGGGGGGCAGTCGGTAGCCAAGGACGACGCTTCGACGACTTCAAGGCGATTCTGGTGCAAGAGCTGGAGCAACGAGGGGAACAGCGAGGCGAACGAGAGATGAACGAAAGGCTGAATCAGTCCCAGCAGAGTCTTCCTGGAGGGTCGGGAGGGGGGTCCGCCGGAGCAGGTAGGGGTTTCTCAAACTGCGAGGGGGGCTCTTGAATGATAGGGATCCTGCTACTTGAAATCAGTTTCTCTCAGTTTCCGGAACTCCCAGGTGTGTCAGGTGGCGGGATCTCCACCGGTGCCCTTCCCGACGAAAGCCGGGTGGGAGGTCTTGTGGGGGCGGGCATGACCTTCTTTCGCGGCGGACGACTAGGGAAGCTGAAGTCCTCGAAGCTGGATCCGATGGTAGCTGCGCTTACAGCAGGTGTGGCCACCTTGCACTCCGTTTCCGAATTCTCCTCGTTCTTTGGATTCCTCGCCGAGTTTGTTGAGAAGTTGCGGCAGTTCGATGCCGTCGACCCACTGGACGTCTTCCAGCGCTGCTACACAGCGATGGAGACCTTGGCAGAACGTGACAGAGAAAGAGAGGACAGAAAGAGGAACGAGCTATGGCCAGGCTGGCTGGAGGCCTGGTGCAAGTTTCTGGGTTCTTACCATAGTAGGGTTCTATAGTAAATAGTACATGGTTTCCTTATTATGGTAACTTAAATTAAATATTAAATCCCTTAAGAAGAACCCAGGTTTCTGGAGTTCTATCGTGCTTGTGCAGCCTGTCTGCTCAGCAGCCAGCCTTTGCCGCACCCCACCCACGGGAGCAGAGACCTCGACCCTGGCGAGCCGGGGGCGGTGGATGTTAGCGAGGCGACTTGTCTTTGCAAATTAGCCCTGTCCCCTTTGAGGAATGCGTGTAATAAGGATCCTGATTAGAGTTCTATTGCTAATGGCTAATGCTAAGTGTGTTTTGGAGTTTACAGTACCCCGCGCAACCCTCATAGCACCCTTAACTGAACCCGTTTAAGGGAACACCTGGACCCTTGGAGTGCTGGAAAGGAGAGCTCCGGGCCTTACACGGAGAGCACGGCGCGCTTTGAACCGGATGCAAGTTCGAAGCCACTTGCCTCTACTTGCTTGAAGCTTTAGGGCTGCGGGTTGCTTACTCGTGAACAAAGTTGTCAGCCTGGTGCCGAGGTTGCTCCAGCTGTAGCCGCTGCATTCTTTGTACAAAGTTGGTTAACGAGCCTACCAAGCGGAGGGCGCGTAAGCTGCTGCCCTCTCTCGCATTGGTTCTAGTGTGGCAGCACGCGCAAGACCGCCCCGCCGCCGCAGGCGGCAGTCAAACACCGTCGTGCCTACTGTGCTGTGTGGGGATGTGGGTCCAATCTTGAGCTTCTTCACAAATGTGGTGAGAAAGTCCATTCACGCAAACAGCGCAGGTCATTTTCTCCCCAGCCATCCTTCTGAAGGTTTTCGGCCAAACGGAGTACCTTGCCCATAGATTCTGCCGGAGAGCTCGCACGTGCACATGTCTGGTTCAAGGTCGTTGACGTCCCTGGCCGTGCATGCTGCTGCCACGATTTTCGACTACCGCTCAGAGCAGAGCCCAGATCGATTGTGTGAGCATTGAATGTCCGACTGCAGGTGACAATCCTGGGCAATGGCGCAAGCTTAGCAGCTTGCGACTTACGACTGCCGGCTCACACCCAAGCCCAAAACACGACACCTTCTTTCCCGCGCTCACAGGCCTTACGTTGGATTGGGGCCAAAACGCTCAACACCGCGGGCTTCGTTGCGCTCGCCTGGTTTAGCTCGTTTTTCGGAGTGTGTTGGCATGCCAGTCAGCATCAAGACAAAAATCCAGTAGTATCCGATAGTAGTACCGCTAACGCTAGCATTAGCACTATGCCAACTCCTGTTGTTGCTGCTGCTGCTGCTCCCAGTCCTGCTGCCGCAGCCACTGCTGCTGTTGCTGCTGCTGCTGCTGCTGCTGCTGCTACTACTACTACTACTACTACTACTACTACTACCTACTACTGCACTTACTACTATTACTTCTGCTGTCACCACGACTAGTGCCATTCCTACGAAGCAACTGACTGAGCCAGGTTGCCAGCTGCCTGGCTTTCTGTGCATTCGCTTTGGTGCATGGCTAAGTGCAGAGGCACGACATGCACCGAATAGACACGTCCGCAGCTGCATTGAGTAACTCCAAGACTCTGAGGCGTATGCATCATTCCATGACAAGCACTGGCTGCAGTTCGTGCTGCTGTGCATTGTCAAGTGCGCCAACGTGCTTATCCAGACTGCGGTGTCAACACTTCATCCTACAAATTGTGCAGTTTCACGCTCTCCATGAACAACATCTCCACGTTCATGCTTCCAGTCTTGGCTTTCCCTCGCAGCGCCGCGAACTCAAAGGCTTGTCAGCTCATGACCGGTTCGGTGTCTAGTGAGGTGCGGTCCACCTTCCATGGCATTTCGGCTGCAGCTCGGCTCTCGGATGTCCTTTTTGAGAGATAGACGACGATAAGCGAATCATCGCCTCGGGTGAGGCCGCCAAGCTTGGCGCCATGGTGGGGACCGTCCTCTTTCCTGCGCCCAGCACCCCAGGGATTGCCCGGGGTACCCCGCGATCTCCAGTTTCGTGCATTTGCGATGCAGGCTCGAAGGTCGCGGCATCCCTTTCGTGATGTTTACTCAGGCTGACTCTGATGTGCGGCTGTGACATCTCTTGGCCTCGTAGAGGGTGTGGCTGCAGGCTTTCGTGTGTGGCATGGGGGCCTGCTGCAGTCATTGGCCGTGGACCAAGTCGAACACATCAACAACTCCTGGTTCATGCTCTACGTTTCCGGCTTTCCCATCCAAGCTTGGTCGGTCAGCATGGCTAACTATCGGGAAGCCTTCGAACTTGTGAGGTTCTTGGAAGTCGTGGAAGAAGGTGTTTGGAGCTCTGTGCTGTTGCCCACTCGAGGGTCTTCAGCCATGATGCGGCTCCAAGGATTGGGAGGAGCAGGCTTTGCCTCCTTTGCTTCTCTGCACGCGGTCTCTCATCGCTTGCAGTGCAGGTAGAGTTGCAGCTGGTTGAAGCCATTGGCTTGCCAGAGTCGGCGCAGGACGGGCTAGAACTGCTTAGGTTCTTTGCAGCCCACCGTTGGATGATCTTAGATCCCGCTGGTGAAAAGGATGCTGCTGCCCGCGAAATGCAGGTGAAAGGCGGATGAACACAGAAGCTTCGGAAACAACAGACACCTGTCCAAGACAGTGCCTGTCCTTCTCGTGTTGACTTGGCAGGAGCCTGCCTCTGATAGATTGTAAAAAGGAACATGGTTCCCACTTCTGGTTGTCCTGTGTGCACGCTCCAAATTATACTGCTTACTTGCAGCTTCCGGCATCTTCGAAAAGAGTCAGATGGCTCAGGAATCGATTCCGAGTGCATGAAACCGTAGAATTGTAGCAGTAGCATGTGATGTCAGTCTTTCGATCCGCTCATTAGCTTGATACGGATGCGTGATGAAACGTGTTTTTACAGATGCGGCCTAACCCGCAAGACGTTAGCAATAGATAGACAAAGCCTAGACCAAATACATGCATCAGTAAGATAGAACAGAAACACAGAGTTTGAAGCCAGAGCCATTTCGACTACGTGCCCGCAGGCCGAAGGACAGGGCAGCACATGTGGGACTCCGTGCATGCAAGCAAGGGAAAGTGGTACTCAGCAAGGCAGCCACAAGGTAGCACCGCATTGTAGTGGTTGGGGGTCTGCACAGTGTCGCATTTGGTGTGGTGGTATATTGCCATAGCTCGTAGGAGGCTGATGCAGCGCAGCACCTGTAAGCAAGCTGCACGCACAAAGGGCCAGAATCGACAAGGGAAAGACGGCGAAAGCGAGTTGCCATGAAGAAGAGAAAGAATCGTGTAGAGCAGTTGTCCCACGCCTCCTGCATTGTCCAATTAGGTACTGGCGCACACCTATTTCCTGAGGGGGACAAGACAGCAATGCCCCATCTACATGGTTTATGCCATTTATGCCACAGAATCACGGAATATCACAGACCAGGCATTATAATCATTAGAGTGTATCTAGATTGTCAAGAAGAGTTACACAAGACGATGTAAGCATATACAAGAATCGTGATTACAAGCAATGTAAGAAAAGCAGAAAGCATCTACGCATGGCAATACTGTGCAAGGACATCGAAGAACTATCGAAGACCACAACGGTGCAGTCGGTTGTTGTTTCACGGTCCAATGATGTAACGTGTATGGGGACCAGAGCACATCACCAGGATGAATAGATCTGCGTAAAGAGGTGGAATGATAGGCAGGTCGGTAGGTAGAAAGGTCGGTAGGTCGGCGGGTTGATAGGTGGGTCGTTAGGTGGGTGGGTGGTTCGGCAGGCTACACAGACATGGATTATATTGCTCTGGCCCTCTTTACCCATAAACTACGTGCATTTGCGTACGTACATCCTTTACGCACATCCTTTTTTTCATACCGACATCAATATGTGTTAGTATTATATATATATATATATGTGGGCGCGTGGTTATCCCTCCACCTCTACATTTTAGCACCTTTGGTACTGCGCCCAATGCAATATGCTAAGAAGGAAAACTAAACATTTCAGTATAATTTACAATAGCAAAATCATATGGCACACTGGGGGTTGATATGACATAGAATACGGTATAGATATGATAAGATTAATATACTTCAATACACACGAAAGAATATACGGCACATACACGGTACAGAATATACAACATCACACAATGAAATAAGACAGAATGTAACCTAACATGCTAGAAGACAACATTTTCAGAATGACATATTACAGTATGTCACATTATTTCATGGCTTATTTTGTAACGGATTATGCTTTAAGCTGATCTAGTATCGTACAGTACCATACTACACAATCCATGATAGAACAGAAATGAACAGACTATACTCCAATACAACATGCTGTAATCTGGCATGGTGCAGAAAACTTTTTCATCTGATGTGATACTGCGCCGGTCCGACAGCTCGTCGCACTCTACCTTGTTCACTTACAGCAAACCTGTCCAATGCAGTTTAAATCTTCACATCCGATGTCGTGACGACTTACATATACAAAAGCGCGCATTGTTCAATCCTTATCCTTCATTCTGTCGCTCGATTCGAAAAAGATTAAAATGTATCATAATAATAATAATCTCAAACAAGACATATACTCCGGCTACTCGAGTATTTCCATCCATTCGAGATGAATGTGTTTATGCACAGTTTGTCTTATATCTAGAGATATATACACACACATATAAGTACCCACAAAACATATTGTACATATATATATATATCATATATATATATATATATATGTATATCATATATATATATATATCATATATATATATATATCATATATATATATATCATATATATATATATACATATATATATATA